TGCAGTTTACTATGCAAAAGCAATACACATTCAGTAGAAATCCCACTTCGAGTACCCATACCACCATTCTGCTTTTCACTTTCAGTACAGAATTCAGTATATTATATGAGATATCCAGCATTTTATTATAAAATAGGCTTTGTGCTAGATGATTTTCTCAACTATAGGCTAATAATGTGTAAGCGTTCTGAGCACATTTAAGGTAGGCTAGGCTAAGCTATGATGTTCAGTAGGTTAGGTGTATTAAACGCATTTTTGACTTACGACATTTTCAACTTACGATAGGTTTATCAGGATATAACCCCATTGCAAGTAACCCCATACCATCATAAGTCCAGCAGCATCTGTACAATGGTGGATACAGGTCACTATACAGTTGTCAAAAACCATAGACTATATAACACCAAGCGTAAACCCTGATGTAAATTATGGACACTGAGTGATAAAGTGTCAATGTAGGTTCATCAACTGTAACAAATGTAACTCTCTGGTAGGGGATGTTGATAATGGGGAAGGCTGTGCATGTGTGGGGGGCAGAAGTATATGGGAGCTTTCTGTACTTTCTGCTCAATTTTGCAGTGAACCTAAAACTGCTCTATAAAAATGAAATGTATTAATTTAGAAAGAAAGCAAGCAAGCTACCCAAGGAACCAAATTTTCACAGTAAACAGTAAAAACAAAGTACAAATGAAACTTTCTTGAAAAAGGAAACTAAAGATTATTTCTCTTCTTACATGTAGCATAAATTAAGTTATAAATGGAACTACATACTTATACTTAAAAGCAAATCAAGTAGGGAGTTTTGGCATAATTTTTCCAAAAATTTTATGATGGTGCCATAAGACACAATTCAATTTCTATTTTACTTTTACTGCATAATTTTGCAAAAATATCTGCGGACTTGGTGGTCTTTTTAAGGGCCTCTTTTTATATTTAAATGAATTCTATTTTGCAGGGCCTATAGTATCATTCTCCTCCCCTATTTTCTTTTCACTGTTAAGAGGTCTGTCTGTGAGATGTAACATGTCCACAGATACATGTGAAACTTTTTGACAGTTCTCAAACATTTCTCTCACTAAACTTCATGAACTCTTGCATCTGTCGCAAGATTTGCAACTTCATTTCACAACTGACCGTGACTGTTTAATCATTAATCAGCAATGAGAGTGATAATAAGCCTTTGAATTGATATGCCCAGACAGAAGTTAGCATTGAGCTGTGATGTGTGGGCATGAACAAATTTTCTAAGTGGTTGGTTCATTAATAATAATTTTCATGTTAATGATATTTTTATTTTTCCTTATACTACTCTTAGCTGGAGAGACTCAGATAACGAAATAGTCTATAACAAGGACTCGTGTTCATCACACAGCAAAGAGGCCAATTTAAGGTAAAAATGTTGATTTCTACAAATACTTACCCAATACCTACATACTAGGCACTATTCTAGTGCTGGAGATCCAAAGATGAACATGAAATGCCCTCTAGGAATTCAATTTAACACGAGAGTGGAACGAATAAACACATACACAAATGTGTTAAGTGCTGTGATAGCAAAGCACTTCACTGCATGCATGAAGGGCTAGGGAGGAGACATAGATGGGAAAGAAATTCATTGTCTCTGGTTCTCTCTGAGTTAGGCCTTGAAGGAGGAATTTTAAAAGCAGACACCAAAGGGAAAGGCTGCCAAGCAGAGGGTAGGACCAAAGAAAGGTCTGAGGCCAGGCGCGGTGGCTCACGCCTGTAATCCCAGCACTCTGGGAGGCCGAGGCGGGCGGATTGTTTGAGCTCAGGAGTTCAAAACCAGCCTGAGCAAGAGCGAGACCCCGTCTCTACTAAAAATAGAAAGAAATTAATCGGACAACTAAAAATATATAGAAAAAATTAGCCGGGCATGGTGGCGCATGCCTGTAGTCCCAGCTACTCGGGAGGCTGAGGCAGAAGGATTGCTTGAGCCCAGGAGTTTAAGGTTGCTGGGAGCTAGGATGACGCCACGGCACTCTAGCCCAGGCAACACAGTGAGACTCTGTCTCAAAAAAAAAGAAAGATAACTGAAAATACAAAGCTCATTCGGAAAACGCGGGGTTTGGAGTACCTACCTCGATGTTAGTTGCTTCACTGGGGGAAAGAGTGATTTTAAAACAACAAAAAAGGAACCACCATAAAAAGGTAAACTGGGACCCAAGTTTAGACCAAGCAAACAAGTTTGGATTTGATTCTCTCGCTACAGAAAGCCACGGGAGTAATATTTGAGAAATACCTAGCAACAGGATATAGAATGGATTAGAGGGAATACAAAAAACACAAGGTGATCCACAGACACCTCCTGTTACAGTGTCCAAGCAATGAGGCAGGGATGGGGGGGCTGGTTCTCCTGGCCTTGGAAGTGACAAAGGGAGCAGACAAAGGGGCAGACACAAAAGTAGCTCTTTACCAGGTTTTAGTTACCACTGTGTGTGGAGGAGGGATTTCTAGGGGAATGCAGAGTTAGAAATGATCCTGGGGCTCTGGCCAGGCTGTCAATAATTCAGAGAGAAAGCAGGAGAAGCACATTCTGGGGTGAGGAGGAGGCAAAGGGTTAAATTCGGAACAGGCTGAATGGACTGTTGAGGTGGTGAGGTCTGACAACCCTCTGCAGAGGAACTGGCACTCAGTGAAAAGATGGAGCTCAAGAAATAGATTGGGAAATGTCAATAACATGTGACAGCTGGAGCCACAGTAAATGTAATTGCTTATGAAAGATCACTGAATTTCAACCAAGCAAACAAATCTCTCCCTGGCATCTCCAACTGTCTTGTCTTTTTTTTAAAGCTAGGCATCACCCACTTGTCCATGTCCTAAATCACTTCTTTTCTCTTTATTAAACTCATTCCATTCCATAACTACATTCTATTCCAGATCACAGGACTGAGAAGCAATGCACATCTTGCAATATTAAGTAAAAATGTCCTCCAACCCAAAGGAAAGCTGCGTCTTCCAAGACTACCAACTCCTTGAAAAAAGAAACAAGACATCCTCAGTGCTTTTGTACTGACTAATTTGAGCAAAATGCTCAAGGGTGTCCAAATGTCCTCACAGGCCAAAGGCAAGCACTGGTACAGTAGAGGGGAATACCAGAGACCTGGCACTTCAGGCTTTGAAAGTGATAAACAGCCACTAATCTTGGGTATGTCACTTCTGCAGGTTTTTCACTTTACGACCAATGAGTACATGATGGCCTAGAATGATCACCCTTCTAGCTGAGGTGGCTTATACTTGTAGTCCTAGCAACTGGCACAGGAAGGGGGATGTGGGGTGGGAGGATAGCTTGAGGCCAGGAGTTCTAGACCAGCCTGGGCAACATAGCCAGACCCCATCTCTAAAAAAACTTTTTAAAATTAGCTGGGCATCGTGGTGCAGGCCTATAGTCCCAGCTACTAGGGAAGCTGAGGTGGGAGGACTGCTTGAGCCCTGGAGACAGAGGCTACAACAAGCTATTATCTCACCACTGCACTCCAGCCGGGGCGACAGAGCAAGACCCTATCTCTAAAAAAATAAACACATAAAGTAATTTAATTTAAGAAATATTTTAATTAAAACAAAAAAGTATCATTAGGCAGTTCAGGGACTATCTAAACACTTTTGTTTTTCTTTTCTATGCTTCCTACCAACTGTCTTTTAACTCTCACTCTTAGCTCACAAGCATAACTGTTAAGAGGGGCCTGAAGCACAAACAGGAAGTGAAGCTCAAAGAGTTAATTTTGCTGCATTCGTAGTTCTGGTGAAAGTCTATGGGCACAAGAAAGGAATCAAATGACCAAAATTGGATTTGGCCATTATTGGTGGCAGCCAGCCAGTCAGTTTCTAGATACTGCACTCAACCTGGTCAGCCAATTAAAAGAAAATTAGCAGAAAAAGACTGAACACATTACATTTTTTAAGGTCTAAATAGAAGGATACACACTTGATGTTGACTGGTTAAATCTTGGGAGCAGAGTGACAACAGAAGTCAAGGGGATATTTTTATTTTTCTGTTAAGTCTGAATATGTACACACATACTTTCATAATTCAAATTTAACGTTAAATATTTTTAAGCTTAAAAAAAGGGAAAACAAGGCCGGGCGCGGTGGCACACGCCGTAATCCTAGGAGGCCGAGGCGGGCGGATTGTTTGAGCTAAGGAGTTCGAAACCAGCCTGAGCAAGAGTGAGACCCCGTCTCTACTAAAAACAGAAAGAAATTAATCGGACAACTAAAAATATATAGAAAAAATTAGCCGGGCATGGTGGCGCATGCCTGTAGTCCCAGCTACTCGGGAGGCTGAGGCAGAAGGATTGCTTGAGCCCACGAGTTTGAGGCTGCTGTGAGCTAGGCTGACGCCACGGCACTCTAGCCTGGGCAACACAGTGAGACTCTGTCTCAAAAAAAAAAAAAAAAAAAGGGAAAGCACATTTCTACCTTACTTTATTTTTGGAGCCACGCCTCCCAATTTGGTCTAGTAACATAGCCAAAGATGATGTCTTAGTTTTAGAAGGGATGAGTAAATGTTACCCTTTCACCACTAACAAATGATGACTTTCAGAGGGGAAAGAATCAAATCATGAACTCGAGGAACTAGAAGAAAAAGTTATCAACTCATTTTTTTAAAAGTCAGCCACCACACCCCTCCTTCACTCAAGGGCCTAAACTGCAAAGGGACCCAGTCTCTAAACATACTTTAAGCTTCAATACAAAACGTACGTAGGAAGTGAACGGTATTGTTCTCCCGGAATACACCCGTTTTGTCCTGAAACCGACATTTTTACAAAAGCCTGCCTCGGGGACGGTCTCGGGTGGCCGCGGGGCCCGTTTCGCCGGATTCCGTCCGCATTTCCCGAGGGCTGGAGGAAAGACGGCTTTCGCCGGCCGCGCCCCCGGCCTGGACCCGGCCCCTGCGCCCCACCCGGGCCCCGCCCTCGTCACCTGACCCGCCAGCCCCCCGCCGCGCGACCCTGCAGCCCCGACTCCGCGCAGCCACCGACCTGATGACACTGATGTGGAACTGGTCCTCGCGGAGGCCCCGCCAGGCGCCGGGCAGGAACTCCCTGCACCACAGATAAGCCCTGCGCCGCGTGCGGGGCTCGGGCTGCTCGTCGGCCGCCGGCGGCGGGGGCGGGGGCAGCGGCGGCGGCGGCGGCAACGCGAGCGGCGGCTGCGGGCCGCCCAGCTGCTTGGGCTCTAGGTCGCTGGCGGCGTCGCGCTGCTGTCCCACGCCAGGCGCCGGGGCCGCGCTGCCGCTGCCGCAGCTCAACAGCAGCCCGAGCGGCGAGGGTTCCGCCTCGCCCCCGGTGCAGAACTTGGTCTTCATGCCGGGCAGGCGGCCGAAGAGGCGCGGGCGGCCGCACCGCGAGAGGGCGAGGCTCAGGGTCCGGCCGGGCGCCCTCCTGAGGACGCCGGGCGGGAGGCGAATCGCTGACTGGCCGGCCGGCGGGGTCTGCGCGCGGCGGGCTGCGGGCCGCGGCGGTTGGGGGCGCGCCGAGCGGGCGCGGAGCGGCGGGCGACAGCGGCGGCGGCGCGAGGCTGGTGCTGCTGGCCGCGGCGCTCGCTCCTATACCGCCGCCGCACGCGGAGCGCCGACCGCGTCACAGCCCGCCCTCGCGCTCGCCGCTGATTGGCCGCCGCCCCTGGCCCGGCGCATCACAACCGCCGCCGCCCTCGCCACACCGCCTCCCCATTGGCTGCGGCGCCGGCCCCGCCTCGGGCGCTGCGGCCCTGAGGGCGGGGCGGGGCGTGGAGGCCTGCGCCCCCTGTCGCGGGCATGGAGGAAAGGGGAGCGAGGCTGGGGACTCCGGGACCCCGACAGAGCCAGGCTGGGCCGAATTAGGCGGGGTCGTGAGCCTCAGAGAGGCACTGGGAGCGGGAACTTTCCTTGGACCCCTCGGAAACCCGAGACGTCGGAGGCCTCTGGCAGGGGGCAGACAGGAAACTGGCGTCTGGAGGCCGGCTTCTCTCTCCCCTGATCTTGGGTCAAGGCGGCTCCGCCGGAGCCCCGTGGGTGTGTTTTTGTAACATTTACCGGCGTCAGCTCTGCACTATGCGAGGCGCGTTACGCCCTGTCCAACCCGAGCCGCAGGAATTATTATCCCTGGTTCAGCAACCGAAGCCCGAAAGGGGGAAGAGGTGACTGATTCAAGACCACACGGTCGGCCGTGCCGAGCTGCACAGCCTCCTGCCGCGACCCAGCCCCACTCAGGCCCACTGCAGCCTCAGTTTCCCTGTCCGTGGTGCTGAGGACGCCAGGACCTAGAGGCTTAGGGCGAGAGGCCCAGGGACGACACGGGCGGGCCACCCCCATAGCAGGGCCTCACAGCCGCCCGGAACACGGCCAAAGGTGCCTGCCACCGTGCTTCTGGCTTTGTGGACACTGTCATCTCCCCCCACCCCCAGGAGACAGCCGCGTGACCATGACTAATGCACCTTTGCCCGGGGCTGGGGGCCAAGGGGCCCTACTCTGGTTTGCCACACACTGACCCAACTCCTTCTCCGGCCCCGCCGCCTCAGTCCTTCCTGGAAGCAAGTCCTTCCTGGAAGCAAGTGGGCTACAGATAAATATAAAAATTAAAAATCCTATTTTATGGGACATGAGCTGGGACAAGAGATTTCCCCAGCTGCCAAGGGCTTAGGAAATCCAGTTCCTGGCGCACAGGAAATGGCTCCTGTGCAGGAATTTCACAGTCTGCCAGAAGCAAAATCTCTTAAATAGTGTGTACTTCGCTGAACTTGCTCCAAGAAAAATTACCGTATTAACAAAGGATAAAAATGAAAAGGCTGCTGTGGAGACAGGCCTGGGGAGCTGGGAGAGGCCTAGGCCTCTAGGATGGAGCGCAGCGAGGTGGGAGTCCCACTGCATGTTGAGAAATCAAGGGCTCCCTGGGAAGCCATTTCGATAAGGGAGCCAAGAACTTTGTCTAAAAGTACCCGACCACAGGGAGGTACACCTCGCCAATGGCCTGCCCCAGTGAGAGGCCCTTTGTCCCACTGTCCCCTGACACCAGTCTGGTAATCTCAGAGGAATGTCAGAAATCTGGCGAGGATGAAGGGGCACTACAAGTAAGGAGTGGGCCTCTAAAATTTGAAATAACTCTTTCTGGCATCTGCTGGTTTGGCATGTGAAAACCCAGGGGCATCTTTATGGATTTGAAGTTCCCTGTGGGTTTAGATGTTGCCTCGTTAAAGATGTTGGAAAAGTTTCTGGGGCCCAAACCTTGAAAGAAAAGTGGAATGTGGGATGCGTAGCTATGCTCTGGGACTACTTATGGGGTTAGGGTATGCAAGGACAGAGATTTTAAGCACAAAATGATGCTGCTCCAAGCTTTGATTTCTCTTCCAGGGATCTTGAGTCCTACATTCTAATTTGGGGGAAATCAATGTCATTCATTCTAGAGGATAACCATCACCCCGGCCTTTGAGGAGCTGGAAACGTGGTGGTACAGGCAGTTTCCTGCCTCTGTCTCACTTTTTCTTTCAATAGTCACAGTTCTGCTCACTCGTTCTTGAAGGAGGACTTTGGAGCATTTGAGGAAACACCAGGTGTACAAGATGGAGTTGATTTGTTTCAACCAAGATGGTTTGAGTGCTCAGAGAAGGCTGGTGTCTCAGAATGCAAGGCTGAATTTTAAGGATGTGACTTGGGGCACATCACTCATGTGTCTGGGAGGGGCTTGCCCTCTTTCACCAAACCCTTCTCTCCTGACAGCTTCTCCTCACCCTTAGCCCACTTAGAGGCCACTCTGCCTGGGCCCACCAGGGAGTCTACATGAATGGGGATATTAGCTAAAGCTCCTGCCCTACCAGTGATGTCACAAACCTTATGGAATCCTCACTAGAACTCCTGAGCTCAATTCTCTTATCTCCATTTAATGGATCAGGAAACTGAGGCTTGGAGCGGCTAACAGACCACACAGCTAGTGAATGGTAGAGCCCAGGGCTGGACTCAGGCGCTGGGCAACAGAGCTTGCCCCAGTATCATCCAGAGAGTCCCTGTGACCCTGCAGCCTCCACCACCTGGCTTAGTCACTCAGGGCTTCCAAGTCACTCTCCCAAGAATGGGAATTTTATTGGTCCAGCTTGTCTTGGAAAGCCCTGTCATCCGGCAGTGGCCAGCCCATGAATTGGCACTGCTGAGTCAGGTGTCCAGGCCTGGCGGAGTCAGCTATAACCATGTTGCTGGTACCAAACATGGCGACCTGAGCAGTAGGGGCCGGAGAGAGGGGGGATGCCTTCAAAGGGGTGGCTGTGGCAGGAATTCTGAAGTTAGGTGCAGCTCCCGTGATGCACGTGAGTGTATAACACACATATGTACAAATCCATATTAATACATTTAACACACATGGCCCTTAGATGACCGGAGCCAAGGACTCCTAACCCATGGTCCAACTCAGGTGAGGGGTGTCTGGGGCCTTCCTGCCCAGTGTTCCTTGTCCCCCACACAGGCTTGCGGTTGGTCACATAGTCCCCCTCCACCACCATAAACTGACCTTGGCCGCAGCCGAAGGACCACAGCCCCCACCAGGAGTGCCATATGCAAGTGCCCACTTTGAAGATGGTCCTGTGTGACTCAAGTTCTTTATTCATGTCACAAGCACACCTGCAGACACCTGTCCTCACCCCTGGGGAGCCTGCATTGCACAATGTGGGAAAGCAGCAGCTTTGGAGTCCAGCAGAGTGGGTTCAAATCCTGCCCCCGCCACTTCCTCAGTGTATGCCCTCAAGCAAGCCACTCACCTTCTTTGAGCCTCACTTTCTTTTTAAAGTGTGCCTAACAGCCTACTCGTTAGGGGGTGGATCATGAGGATTAATGAGATAAAGCATAAAAAGTGTTTCCTATGGTGCCTAGCACATAGGAAATATCAGTTATATATATTACACATTTGCTCCCTAAATACTCACAGTCCCTGTGGAAGGTGGAGCAATTATATCTGCTATCGCGTCCATCTGGTAGTTATGGAGACAGACCTGCAGGCTGGGTGACAACTGAAGCCCCTTGGCTGAGGTGAGGGATGAGGCAGGACCCTTTCTTCCCAGGTGTCCTGGCCCCCTGCCCAGGCGTCCGCAGGGTACGCAAGATGTCTCTTGCTGGCCCATCCTCAGCGCGGCCGATCAGGGCCCCCAGCTCAGCATGGGAGTGGGCAATGCCACCCAAAACTGCTGGGGCAGACACGGCGCTTGTCACATAGTAATGCTAAAGTAATAGGTTTTGTAGGGAAGGATACTCAACCGTTCTGTCCACAGAAGTGGAGGGGAGCCTCCCTGATGGGGCATTTGAGCAGGGCTTGTAAAGGCTGCAATGTCGACAGGTGCCCAAGTGCACACAGCTTGCAGAGAAATTCGCTATGGCAGGCACTGGTCCTGGGGAGAGGTTGTTCTATTAAAAATTCTTTTCTTCTGGAGCAAAAGAGAAAATTATCCAAAAGCTCTGTGATTGATACTGAATTCTGAGAGCAGACTCAGAGAGTGTGGGCAACGGGATGGAAGGGGATTGGGGAGGTCCCTCTCCACTCCATTTCCTGCTGACTGGTTCCTCTGCTCTGGCCCGAGCGGCCAGACGAGTGAGTTCCCAGGCTCACTGGGCAGACCAGGGCCCTCCCCAGAGCTCAGAAGGGTCCACCCATGGGCCCCAGTGCCACAACTCCAGCTGCAAGGCCTATTCCAAGAAAGGGCTTTGTGAGGTGGCCTCCCCCAAAATGGAGGGACCCATTGTCAAGCACCTGGAAAAGCTCTGAGCCCTGTACCTGCATCCAGCATCTTTGAAGTTTTCCAGCCAGCAGTGAGGTGAGCGTCATTAGCACCTCCTCCCAGGCGAGAAGGGAGCTTCACCAGAAGGTGAAACCATTTGTCCAAGGCCTGCAGGAACTGGGGACCCCACCCAGGACCCCATCCAGGGGAGCTTTGTCCTTAATGTCTTTCTGCACCAAAAGCACCTTTGGCCCAGGAAGCACTAAACACTTGACACAGTGGCGGTTCCCTCAAGGCTGGAGAAGCAGAGCCCGGGCGGAGCTGTGCTCACCACCCCCTCCCAGGCTGCACCCAGGACCAGGCACTCTAGTTCTGAGACTTAAATTATTGATGAGCACACAGAGAGGCCACTGGGCTGAAACCCTACCTGCTCAAGATTGGGTTACAGCCCCAACTAGCCGAGTGACACGGAGGGAGTTGGGCCTTCGCTGAGTGGCCAAGTTTAGCCCCAGCCCAGGAAGCTCTGCCACCGAGGGGCTGGGCAGGCCCAGCGTCTTCCTAGAGGTCTCTGAGCCTGAGTGTGGTCAGCTCAGCACCCACAGCTGGGGCCTAGGGCCCAGAGGGCTCCCAGGAGCAGGCGAGTAGGATGCCCGT